AAAATAGACGTCTATAATGACGATCATATTAAATAGTTATCGTTATTAAGTTGTGAAAAATAGCGGTTTTAAATTGTGCTTTTTACTTTTACATCTTTCCCATACCGGACATGGATCAGTGTCCCAAATACAGCCTCTTGTCTCACATGCTTGTTGTGTGACACCTGGTTCTGGGAAGCAGTCAAGGCGCTCCCCACATACTACTTTGGGCAACGTAACGCTATCCGAAAAGGTGACTGTAATCAGATAGGCGGCCAGAAGAATATTGATCAACAACATTCTAAATGTCAAAATTTATTTTTAGCGACAAAAGCTGACATTTTAATTACAGGTTTTTGACGAGGAAAACTGAAACAAAAAGTTGATTTGTTGATAAAAGATTTTTTGGTAAATACAATTTTCGCAAAAATAGGCCAAAAAGTAGCTGTTTTTTTAATGTGACTTCTGAGTTACAGTATGATAGTGTTTAATTTCTTGCAATTTAGACGTTTTGAAAGAAAAAGAAAACGGATTTGCAGCGAGCAGTACAAATGGGAATTAGAAGAACAGCAGCTATACACCGATTAAGCGTTTAAGAGCTAAAGTTTTTGATCAAGATAACAGCAGATCTCATGTCAAGTGTTTACACTGTCTTATTCTTCTGTCTGTTTTCAAAAAAATAAGAGATACTTAGTAAACAGAATCGAAAAAAAAGTGCGGATTTTTTTATTATAATGTTTAACAGGTACACTCCAAAAATAAATAAACTGGCTTTAATGATAAGCACGTAATGACAAATTTCTCTGCCTCTTTTTTTCTACACCAATCATCTTAATTGCTTAGGCAGTGGTGTTGTCATTTTTGGGTTTGATCATAGCTTTAGTTTTACTGTTCAGCAGTAAGAGATCAGAAGCTTAAGAATTAAAATGGCGACTATTTGAAAAACTAAACTGTTTTTTTTTTTTTATTTTATTGATACCGTTCTTTTTTTTTTGCCATTTTTAAGTTACAGTTTAGAATTATTGTAGAATTTTGACTTAATCCAGAATAAAATTTGCGTTACAATCTGCCACTACTACCAATGCCATTAACAGATCATTACGTATACACTTCAATGTTTAACGAAACAGTTAGTCAGCAAAAAATAAATTATACATTTTAATGACACTTCAATTGCTGCAATACATTACTCCGATTAACAGAAAGTCTGTAAAAGAAACAATTTTAAGATTATTTTTTCTGATTATTGTTTGAATGTTTAGCGAGAAAAATATAAGTGCTTTTCAGTAATTAACTTTTTTGTTGTCACATTCAACTTCTGTAAACTTTTTATTTGTCAAGTTTTATGTAGTCTTATTAGTCTATCAATAGTTCTATAGTTGTAAAATTCTAAAAAATAAAAGAAAGCAATAAAAAGTAGAAAGAAAAAGATAAACTCAGAATAAATATTAGTTTTTTTTTTTGACCATTTAACAACAGTTTTTTTGATAGACATCTGATACAGCAGTAATAAAAAAAGAGCTGAATAATAAGCTGACATTGAAAAAACAGACTAGTCATTATCGACAGCAAAAAAACAGTTAACAATTCTACCAGCTTGTAAACGACAAAAACATTTAATTATCATCAACAATACTGTTGACCACAAATATATAGGTACATATTTTTTTTTTTCAATAGCATTCTACAAAGAGAACAAAAATTAACTTTTGATTTTGACTTTTGCTTTGTGCTTTTTCAGCTTCTGCTTCAATTTAGCAACATAACCTTATTTATTTGTGCTAGATAGATAAACAATAAATAAACATTTGAACAACCTCTTTTTACGTACTTATTTTGCTTTTTCAAATGAAATAGTTTTCTTTGAATTATTTCTGACTATTGTTCTATAGCTTTTTAATGCCGTTTTATGATATATCATAAACTGAAGACATCAATAACCAATAAAGTATGATTAGGTCCTATAAAGCAGAATAATTAATCTTGTCTTTTTTTTTTGATTTATTTATATGTATATATATCAGATACGAAATTTTATGTGGTAACAACTGAGTAACACAGAGTATTGTTTAAATAAGATTTACAGTATTTATTAAATTTTGAGGATTAAAGACTGTAGTTGAAACTGAAACATGAACATTAAGTTTTATTCAGTCAATTTCGGAACTTACTGTTGCTTGTGACTTCAGACATAAACTTGCGGTCAGATTTGTGAATAAAATTTGACTTTGGTAGAAAAAAAAAGCAAAAAAAAAATGTATCTGTCTATTTCAAGCCCTATTTCGTTTTATTTCTATAAACGTTTTAACTTATATGATCAAATTTTCTTTTGAGAGAAAAAATTGTATAGAGTGCCATAAAGATGTCAAAACAGAGAATAAAAAAACTGCGGGTTTAATGGTGAAGTGCGAATAAACAAACTGCCCACTAAAGAAGTGATAACAAATTTGTATTGAAACACCTGACCAGTAATTTTTTTGCCAAAATCAGAGGCATGAAAGACAAGACGTCTGAGATAACCGAGAAAACGGAACGTAGCTGCTTTTTAGGTTTTGCCAACTTATACACTTTATATCTGTAAAATACATTATGCGTAAGTGCAAAGTTTTTTTTTAAAAATGTTTAAAAGACTAAATGTTGCATAAAAACGAGTTTCTAAAACAAGATGTTTAGCTCTAGCTTGCTTTTTCAATAACGAAAACAAAGTAAGCTAGAAAAAAAACAATAAGGTGAGTTTAAAAATAAGAAGAAGAAAAAAGTGAACATTTTAAATTTGAGGTGGAAAACCAGTGACAGCTAGAAAGTTTAGTTTTCCTGTTGAGACTAATCTCAAATATACTCTACAAATTTAACTGGCGCTTATAAATCAGATATTTGTTTAAAGAACAAACTTGTTTGGTAAGCGAGATGAAAAACCAACGAACGGCAGGCTGGTGTGGCAAACTGTTTTGAAGCCACTGACTTCCCTTCTGGGGCTCAGAATACATCAAAAAGCAAATACGTGGTCTGAAATTCTTGATCAAAATTTACAGCTTTATTCTGTGGCTGAAAAATCCACTTTATTTTAATACGTATAATTTCGTTAGAACATTGCCTCATGACACAATGTTTAAAAGCAGATAAAGGCACTTTCTTGGTTTTGACTAACAAAAATAGTCATCAAAAGGCTCCAACCTTACACAAATACTGTGCAGTAAAAATTCCAGAAGAGATATAACGTTAAATTTGATAACTCTGCGACAGAAAATGGTACTTTTTTTGACCGCAGAAAGAGGACTGTACAAAACACTTCGAAAAAAGTTTGCTTGTTGTACGTATTATTAACAGTGATTAATGTACATTAGCCACTTCTAAGAGTACCACTAACCTTAATAGTTGCTGGGAATCTGCAACTTTATGTAGTATACACTTCTCATGTTAAAACTAAAAGCGAAAATGAATGATAGTTATTAAAATTTAGCTTCCAAAACCTAAATCATTTCTGCGCTTCAAACAGTTGAATAAAACATTTTTTCATATCAGCTTTAAAGTTGTATTATGTAGAAGAAGTTTTAAAACGTTTATTGTAATTACTTATAATGTTTATCTTCATAACCACACTTGACATTGAACCTTCTCCAATTTGCTAACATAAAGAGACATAAACACAAAAGGACAAACATTGTAAAAAAAACATTTATTTATATTTAAAGTTGATTGCTTTCTAAACTTTGCAAATGTATTTTCTTCTACAGAACTGTAACATTAAACGCTATATCTTTCAGAAAAATCCGCCTTTTAACTTCCTTTTAATTTTACTTTTCCTGCAACTTTTTACTGATTTTTCGCTTTTCAAAAACACAACTCTTCAATGATTGTAGCAAAAAAAAAAAAGAACTGTCTTTTCTGATTTGCTGTTAATTGCAGATCAAACAAAAGTCAATGTCACTCAGAAAAAGCTGAGGCTATGTTCAATTAAAATTGATAAAAAATGCGTAAGTAATAAAAATTGTAACGTACAAAGTTGTCTCTTTAATCCATTGAGATTTAAATGTACAGATCAGTAGAAGTTTATAAATGTTAGGAAAAAGTTTTTGTTTAAACGGCCAACGCAACATTTGTGATAGACAGATAACCTCGCAAAATCTTTGCTGTTCAGAATATTATCGTTAGTCGTTTATCACCTCAAATAGAACGAATTCGTACAAAAAGATTAAAATGCTATGACAATGTTATTATCAAATGTTAGAGCACTGTCTACACATATCAATAATTTTTGGTTAATAAGTTCATCAACTCATTTCTGGTTTCTCCAAGATTACTTTTTGGTCTCTAAACAACAGTCCTAGCGATTAAAATGGGCAGTAGTATTCAAATACATCGCCTTTCCAAGGCAAACGACTCGAAAGCCTGAAAAAAAATCATCAAAAGAAGTAAGACTTCATTGAAACTTTGTTGCACCACTAGTTAACATTTAAATGACAAAGGCGCTGTACCAGTTTTATTAGGCGGTACGACAAAGTGCCACTTTGAATTGAATTGCACTGCAGCCCTCCGATAAAGCCTCAAAAAGATCTTACAGAAAGTACCTGGTATGAAAACCTTTGGTGCAACTAAACATTTTATTTAAATTTAAAAGTATGCATCTGCAGTAAATAGAACTGACAACGGAAAAAAAAAACTTTTACACCATTTCCCCGTTTCGCAGTGCAGACACTTTGTTATCGGATTGATAAGGGGTGGATAAAATACTGCCAGTAACAAAGTCCCTTGGTCTGGTACAGTCTAAGACAAATCCACCGTGCAATAGTCTTTTGCAGTGAACTTCTTCCATCTATCTTCATTCAGTTGCCTGCCTACAGTCTAATTCGAATAATCTGCACAGAAGTTTAGTAGCCGCGGATAACTTATTTTTTTATTTGTCCATTTGCAATGAATACATTTTCGCAACTTGAAAATTTTGTAAGATTAAGCTCTATAAAGTACAGACTCCTCTGTAAATTACGAATGACGGTACTGCAAGAGTACCAAGTCATTATTATACTCTCACTTTAACGACAAAAAAAAGAAAAAGCAAATAAAAAAACGAACATAGTATAATCAAGATAAATACAAAATTTTCAATACTTTTACAATGTCATTAGCCAAAAACAGAATCATACAAAAAAAAGCACTAACATATTAAGGCTTGGAAATGTCTCACATATAATAAATGTACAAAATGTAACATTTAAAAAGTTTAAGACAAATGATCATAAACAAAACTGCTCTTTTTTTAATAATCCTAAAATGTCAACTACCGTTCCACTTTTTAGAAGCAAATAAACAACGAATTGCACAGGAAAAGAAATATAAGCATTTTTTTGTTGCTTTTATAATTAAAAACTAAAGCGAGAAAGTATACAGAAACAAAAAACCGCGTAATAACAACATAAGTTATTCCATTTTTAAGTAAAACCACTTTACGCAAATATGTATTGCCCTTTTTGCAACACCGAATTTACATTATCAGAAACATCTGTAAAAACAGGAATGAATAAACAACAAAAATTAAATTCCACCAGTATAATCGCTCAAAAAAGCTCAAACTATTTAGTTATCTCCATTATCATTTTCATCCTAATTCCCATCTTCATCCTCATTGTTGTTATCATTACCACTATCAATGTAATTATCATTATTATTATTATTATCATTACCATTAATATTATTATTGTTGTTATTATTATTGCTATTATTATTATTGCTTCCTCGGTTCAGTAATATTTCCAAAAACCAGTGATGTACTGAAAACCAACAGTAGCAATAATATTAGAAATGTTATTATAATACTAATAATATAATTAGATAAGGTATGAAGATCGATAGTAATAATAATAATAGTAAAAGCAACAAACAAACTTCCCTATACTACGCAGTTTGTATCGAAAATATAGCGTTCTACCAACAATTAAAAACGGTTAATAAAGCAGTTGCACCGCAACCAACTCCCATACTACATTTTTAACTAGCTCTTAACAACAACAACAACAGTCCGCAGCATTTTCGTAAGTATATCATCTGATTACATCAAGTAAAAAAGATTCATTTGAAAAACGAGAACATCTTTGCACCAGCACCCTCGACGATACTGCCAACGCTGGAAACCGCTTGAGTTGCATTTTCAAACAGCATACTGTTGCTGGTAGACGACGAAGGTTTACCAGCTGCAGGTTTATTCGCATTATTTGCTTCCTCGAATTGAATTCGTCGTTGTATAGTTTGATAAACCTTACTGTTCAAGCACTCATCGTCGATACCTTGCAGTTCGAAATCGGAGTAAATCTTCTGCAATAACGCTGTCTTATTATGTGAAAATTTTTTAGTTAACACCAGGTCCCCATCGATGTCCTGTTTAAAATACGACTTCGGTAACGTCAATGGTACTTTAACAGCAAATAATCCTCACTTTAATCATAACTGATATACAGGTGAGCTGGTACGGTGATAAAGATTGTTGTAACCGTTCTCCCAGCCATACGTTCAGCATTTCCATTTGACCATTGTACCACCTCTTAAAAGTAAAGTGATATAGAAGTGTTATAATAGTTTTGCACGTAGATTAATACAGATTTGAAAACTGCTGTACACAAAAAAAATTTATCCCACATACCTCAAATAAAGCGTTGACCCAAACTTCATCGGTGATTGTTTCTCGAAGTTGTTCAGTAGAGTTCCGAACAAAAGTTACATATGTATTACCTAAGTGACCAGAGTTCTGTGGTTGAGCAGCAGAAGGCCTCTAAAAACAAAAAAAAGACAATTTTTTTAGGCGAATAATTTAAAGTTACACAGGGAATTTTTTTGGCTATACGGCTCACTGGTGTGGAAGGAGTAGACGAAGATCCCCCTGTAATGTTGTGCAGTACGCCTTGTTCGCCAACAACGTTCTTTACTTTGTTGAATATAGATGTCGGTTTTGGCTAAAGTATTTATAAATCGACATCATTACTTCAATACATACATTAAAAAAAGAAGTGGCAACTAATTAGACCACGATTTTGGGTAATAAAGCTTCACTTAAAGATGACATCGAATTTGAATAATAATAAAAAAATAATTGAAAGAAAGTTAAACCGCAATAGAAAGAAGTGTCCCAATAGGATTTCCTTCATCATACCGTGCCAGTCTCGACATAACCAAATCCAAGATGGAGATTAACTAAAAGTTCCAAATGCATCGCAGTGAAATTTATAGCCAATTACATCTTACTAAACAAGGTGTCAAAGTTTGTGTCATTATTTTCGCACACTAATTAGAACTAGTTTAGACTAACCTTATCGTACAAACACGTGGCCATATCTTTTAGCATCATATCCAAAGTTTCATCCAGCTTTGAATGATAACGATACTGGAAATTTTAGCTACGAAACTTTTAGGCAAAAAATATATATATGTAAAATAATTATTGCCTATCAACAAACACACAAAGTGGAGAAAAAAGTAAGCTTTTTGAACAGCACAACCATTATATAAAAATAGAAGTTTATAAAAAAACAGTAAAAACCTCTGGCTTTGATTCCAATACTAATTTAGTCGCTCGAGTTTTTGCGGAATTAATAACATTCACCATAACACACACTTCTGACGGTACAGCATAGTCTGTTGATTTCTTTGCATGTTGCATCCAAGAATCAAACGATTGATAAGTGCTAAACTTAATTACTGTTAAAACCACTTAAAAAAAACGAAGTGACCAGTAGTAAAGCCAAGATGCCTCTAACCAGTTAGCACATTTACTAATCATATCGTTGACCAAAGTTCTCATCCTTTGGTACAACCAATTAGCAAACTCTTCCTGCGGCCAGTTCAAATCCTGTACGAACGATTGCAGTGCATCCAGCTTCCAAAATATGTCATCTGATGTAGCACATCCATCCCTTGAACAAAATCTTTTATATCGATCAAGAAAAGTCTGAAGTCAAGACTTTCCTTAAAACCAACTTTTATCGAATCTCTCGTCAATTGAAAGCTTAGTAAGTATGACATATAATAAGGAAAGACTATCATAAACTGTCTTGTTCAATAACTTAGTTTATAATAAGTACTGCGTTTAAATGTTACAGAAACTTTTGGAGAATTTATAAAGAAGAAATTGGGAAAGAAAAATAGTACTTGCGAGGTTCCCATTTTTCTCTCGTAAAACCTTTTTCAATTGATTGTGATATCGAATGCTCCATAACTTCAATATATCGAACGACATTTGGTGCAAACTGTTCAGCAAGTTTTTTATGAAAATGCCCATTTTTCAGATGCTCTAAAAAAATTTTTAAAAAAATTGCAACAGCAAAAACAATAAAAGAAACTTCAAATTAACCATTCTTACCCAACAACTGGAAAGATTAAAAGACATACTATCAGTGACCAAATAATCGTTCAAAAGTTGAAATAATGGAAATGAATCCCAGGTGTTTTCTGGTTGTACAGCAAGTGTTGCATCCAAATCAACAGCATATAGTTGCCAAAAAATTTCTGCATGTTCCGCCAAAAGATCACTGAACCATGCAAATGCCTAAAAATAAACAAGAAAAAAGAAAAAAAACTTGGCTTATTTTTTGTTTTTTGTTTTTTTCTTTTTTTTTTTTTTTTTTTTTTTTT